TACGTGTGCAGCTGAGCGCCAAAAGCCGATGAGGGAACGCAATCACGATGAGATGTTCCGAGTGCACATTCAATTTGACAAAGATCACGCAACGCACGAGGATGTCAACTTTGTGGCTCAATGCACAGCCGGGGAAAAGTACGCCAAAGAAGTTAAATTCAGCTACACCATCACTGATCCCATGCCTGCCTACATTTCTGTGAGTATTATATGTACACATCGAAAAATGGAAATAATTGCGATTAAATCTACTGCTGATGTACGAGGGGCTGCCAAGAAAAAATCTGCAAATTTTAGCAGCAAGAAGAAAGATGCGTTGCCTATACTTTTGGTCAATTCTGACCTATAAATCCGATTCCTCAAAACGATGATGAGATATAATCTGCATTTATTCGAGCGTCTTCTTTTTTTCGATCGAAAAACTTCCGAAATAAGTTTTAAAATGAAATTAAGCGTGCTTTTTCAGTCTTTTGCTGATGCTGGTGACGGTTGACTAATTTGAATTGCAATTTCAACGAAAACTCCCCTATTTTCCGAGACATGATTTTTTTTTTCAAAATCTTGAAGCAAAAGCAATAATTTTCACGTTCAAATAATTTATATTTTATATATGCATCTCTGGGCGGAGTCAGAGTGAATTTTTGTTAGAAGCCGCTGAATAAATGACGTACATTATTTTTGAGAACGTTTGGTGGAATACGAATATTTTTCAGATGATATTCGTGAGACTTTCGATCGAGAAATCCCCTCTCTATGAGAAGTGGGCAGAAAATCTTGTAGAGGCTGATTTTGAGAAAATTTTGGATTCCTTTGAACTTCTGAGAGGAGCACTCTGTATTCATTACAAATGCTCAAAGCTTGACGCTGCATCAAACTAATCAACTTATTCATTCTTTCGAGAAGACGCACGTAATCAAAGAATCGTGTGAATGTTACGCTGGTGTTTAGCTTCTCCAAGGAAAAAAAAATGACAACTTGAATCAGTACTGGTATGTGGTACTCAAGACGAGAATAGACCTGCTCAATTTCAGCAAGTCGCACACGCAATTGATTTCATTTTGGGAAACGTGAACAACGCAAAAAAACATCTTTTTTTCGCGGCATTCATTGTGCTGTGCAAGTGTACATCGTTCATATACCGATTTTGCAGAATTACCGCATATAGCCTCGAAAAGAAAAAAAAAAACAGAGATACGAACAGAGATGGTGAACTTGGTCTCATTTTATGAACAATTTTCAGCTGACGAAAAAATTGAATTCTTTCCTCATTAATATACGATGGGCGTATTGAATTTCCAGAATCAAGTTCCGGTAGATCCGCCACTTATTAAATTACTAACTTTCACTTATATCAATGAGAAAAAGAAAAATCCCTCTTTACGCACTGATAAAAGAGCAGCTTTGCCCCAATTCATGCTCAGCAGCAAATTCGCTTCTTTATTAAGTGAAATTGCATTTTGAATCTTTTACAGTTCTGAATGGGTTCGAAACTCATTTACTCGGCCGTGTCGAAAGCACTTCCATTGTTTTGAGAAAAATAATATCTTATACGACAGTACCTTCGTGGGCGGGGTTTCATTTTGCAACTCACACGACAAAAAATGTGCACAGCGCGAACTAAAAAACAGGAGATGAATTTCTAAGGTGTACCTCGCTTTTTCACACTTAGTCTTCGATTTACCCTGACCTGAAAAATTGTAAGGAGTTTATTTTTATTCTTTGATGGTTATGATTGGGTACTTGCTGCTTGGTGATTATAACAGACTTGAAGAATAAAAATTTTAAATGTCGGGAAAAATTGAAAGCTTGTCAGCCTTTGCCATGAAATATTGTGATTGACAAAAGTTAAATTTATTTTAATGCTCAATAGACATTTTCTTTGAAAGATTATGAATACCATGCAATAATATTTCTAAAATATACTGAGTCAACTTTTTATAAGGGTATATAATCTCCTCCCAACCTAAAGGATCAAATGTGAAATTCCAAAAATATAAGCTCACCTAACTTTCTTCAGATATTTTTGTGATATTTCAAATGCCATAGCAGCACACATAAAAATTCAGAGAATGGTGTTTGTTGAAAATGGCATTTGAAGTATTGAAGTCCTTGCATATTTTGGAGCCATCCCATCATTAAATTCGATTTTTTTTGTGAATATATTTGCTGACACTCCTTTAATATATGCTACGCATACTCAACTATGTCCATTAAATACTTGTCATCTGATTTGTTTCAGTGTGTACCAAAATACACTCAGAATACCCCACTCTAGTGCATATAGTTTCACTATTTGGAATCTGTATATAGCAACTACATTGCAAAGTAAACGTGTCACCATTGCTGTCTGGTCATGGGTTCTTCCCCTTTCCAGATGTCCCAGTTTAATTTCTGCTCATGCATGGTCATCAGCCTTTTGCAAGAGGCTCAAATCTGTATAAAAATGGTGCTTTTTTACATTACTGTTACTCAATCATTGCTGTTGGTTTATGCTATGTTGTGGTCCTTACTTACTTGAAATATATTCACCCATGCAGTTGTATCAAGACTTCAAAATTCATTTAAAACGCAACCCTGGCCATAAGATCAAATCTTCTCAAGGCTAAAAGTTATCTATATGGATCAGATAGAGGAAAGAACAATTGAAGTTTCACAGAGACCTCTGTCAACAGAGAGAATTTTATTTCATTGAAAATCCAACAAATAGGATGACATACTTTACTCAGAAAAAAGCTCATAAAATGAAGTACTGTACTGTACAGAATTATTGAGTAGGTTTCATGTTGGGAAGAGTTTTATTATTCAATTTCCTGTTATGACTGTATGATGAGCCCTGCATGTATTGTTCCCATTTTTTTTACATTGCATGAAAATAAGGGAGCTGAGTCATCAGCCGCAGTCTTTGATGTAGATGTGAGGAATGGAATTTCACCGGATTCCCCGCGTTTGAAAGGGGAAATCATCATCGGAACCCCGTTGACTCTCGTGCTGAAAATGAAAGCTGTTCACGCGTATTTTCTGGACCTCAAGGTTCTCAGCTGTTGGGCCACATTCGGGGAACCAACAGAGAGGTGCTGTGAGTCCTGAAAATTCAAGTTCAAGTCAGATCCTACTAGTCTTTAATTTCGAATTCTGCAGCTTCAAGGCGAAGAGAAAAAACTGGGACTTTAGCAAGATGAGCCCTTATCCGTTAGAGTTGGTGCAAAATGGCTGCTCTGTCAGGCCAAATGTCTTTGGGAATTTTCACAAGGTTCCTTCCAAGCCGAGCGACAGAGAACTCACTTACTATGCCTTGTTGAGGGCTTTCAGATTTGTGGACTCTGACACTGTGGTGACCAAATGCAAAGTTGTGCTTTGCTATGGGCATTGCCCCGGGAACCACAAGCCTTGTGAAAAGTAAGTCATTTCTGATGAATACAGCTGGCTAACATGCACTAGCTTGATTGTTTCTTTTAAATTCCACACTGCAGAATAACTGACCATATTACGAGTAAGGGTGTGGCAAATTTAATTATGAGTAATTTTTTATGGTGACATCACAATTGCACAGTTGTGTCTCAAATTGTGACACCACCATTATTCAAGACATATAGTTGTACCATGTTTACTCAAGTGCCACATATGTGCCTTAAAATGAGTAAGATTTAAACCTTAATTTTCTTGCTTCGAAGATGCCAAAAACCCTATTCCTGCAGAAAAACCCCCATACGCTTGTTTTGCTGAATATCGAAATTTTAGAAGTACTGTACTGTAATTTTAAGAGATTTTTTAGTTATTAAGGAACAATAAGAAAAATTGTGGCATGATTGCAGCCACAACAGAATTTCCCGTTCAAAATTAGCATCTATACAGAGACCCGTATTTGACTTGAGCAACTTTTTTTNGCAGGGCTAATTAACATTGTGGATCGTGGAAAGTTGGGCAAGGCAGATGGGTATTACGGTTTGTAAAATTCGTATCATGAAGCATCTGAACTGGAGAATTTTCTCGAATCCCACAAGCAATGCTTTACATTACAATACAGTACACCACAAATAGACGTTAATTGATCATTTCAGCAAAAAACACAAGAGTAAAATATGAAGGTGAAAATATGGGCACATGCTTTTTATATGATCGCTTTCGCGATGTTGAAAATCGTATTCTCCTTGCATTGAATAAGATAACCGTCCCTTTTTCAAGCATACAAGTGCTGGGCGGTTTGGAAGTTCATTTGATACAGTCAAGCCTCTTTGAGTCAAACTTCAATAGGGACCAGGTAAAAAAATCAAATTAGGAAGGTTATGAGTTATAGGGGGAAGAGCAAAGAATTATTGCAGTAAATCGTAATTGGTGATATTCTGTGATTTAAAAGGCTTCTTGATTGTGTTGAAAGGATGCTGAACTTATTGGAGGCAAGAGTTAATTTTTGCCGAATGAGTCCTTAATTCACTTTATTGTTCAAAATTCATCAAGTTGCATTTTTCTTGCTTTTCTTTTTTCCGTGCCAATAAAATAATAGCATAAAGGCCTCCAGAAAATTTGAAATATTATGGTATGAGGAGGGAAGCAATGAGTTGAAGTTTTTAATGCAGGGTTTTCAAGGAAATTCAGACAGGGACTTGAAAAAAAAAATTCTACTCACAGAAATAGGGAGAGGAAAGAGGGACATCGAGGTTCAACTTTGGTTCGTTACATGAATTGCACCAAGAAAGAACGGCACAATTAAATTCTTCAAAAAGTTATCAAAATAAATAGCGCGGTTTTCTTTGTTCTCGTTTATACATATATGCTTGCATTAATTATGGGAACAATATCAACAGCTTCCAACGAACTTGGCACAACGTTGCTGCAGTCCGGAGACGCAATTTTCTGGGCCAAATGTTACCCCCGGGATACGGTGGCAGTAACTTTGAATGACCCAACCGGGTTCACAGGCGCAGTCACCATACACTCACCACAAAGCTTCCGTTTCCCGGGTTNGCGCAGTCACCATACACTCACCACAAAGCTTCCGTTTCCCGGGTTCCCTGGGTTGCGGGGCCACGAAGCAGACATTCCTCAACGCCTTCGACGGGTTGGTGCTCTGGAAAGCTGACTGTGGACACAGACCAAGCTCAAAAGTAAGCGCAAATTTACTTGTATGACTGCTGTATGAGATTGAATCATTAAATTCCTTCCTTTTCTTGGAGAACACTGGGCGAGATTCAGTTTTGATCTATTTTCTATAGACAACACAGATTTTTGAAAAATAAAAGAATACATCCTAGATACTTTTTTTTAGTTGGAATTATAACCCGCACCGGAATTTTTCAGAGAATAAAGCCCACATTTTCTTTCATTCAGCAGTAAACAGTGTTACAATTTTCTAAATATCATCTTAGATTCTGCACACACTAATTTCAACCTGACGGTAATTTGAGACTCTAATGTATTCTGCACATTACTTGATTAAGCCTAGAAGTATTTTGCATACCACGAATGCTTTCATCGCTTTTCATTATCTCCATAATTTTTTAGTACATAATCAGAGTGAGCAATGCCAATGGCCAAGACATCACCGACGCCATTCTAGACTGTCGCAAAACGTCGGTAATTCTGGAAAGAAGCGACGCTGAATCGCCAGAGCCTAGAACTCCTTTTCATTCCGCAACAAACGAAATTCGCTTCCTCTCCGTGCCTTGAAAGAAAATTTCCCTGCTGTATTCCGAACGTCTCGAAATTAAAATATATGCGTACACTTCGCCGCGAAAAATGTTTCACTTCGCACGAAATTTCCGAACGTACAGTATAACGAATGTTCACGCAATCACGAAGTTCAAAAAGGGAGTGAATTCACGTCACGTTTTTCTTGAAAAAAAAAAATAAATGAAGGAGAAAGTCAGTATCAATGGCGTCTCCGCCTTAGATTTTCTTTTTGCGAAATATTCGCTAAAATGGTACACAAATTCGCATTCATTGAAATGGTTCATTTTTACACGGTAAAAAGGATAAGTATATGGAAGCATCTGAAGTAAAGAAGTAGACTCTGAGAAACCGGGATCGAATGAAAAAGAGGGCATTCAGAACACGTATTCATCAGCGTCGTTATTCATTTATTTTTCTTTCTAGAGGTATATTGTGATGCTTGCGAAGCTCAGTTTGCAGGTACTGTAAATAAAGAGAGCCTTTACAGCATTCGCAACTATAACTCATTTTATCCCAATATATTAATCTGCTGCACTTTTCCGTCCAATCTTTTCATTAGTGCTTCTTTCAAGGCAAAGTTCAATCTGCCTTCATAAATTTGAAAGCTAACCTTTTCTGTTTCAAGGAATTCCAGGGGAATTTCTGGAAGCAATAAAAATGGCTTCTTATTTTCGCGTAAA